GGCATTTGTCTTGATTATTTATCGTATAGTGCTGATGTCGTGAAGCAATTTGAACGGAAACACGAATATGTACAATGTTCAGTGTTGCTCATGAATGACTTGTATTATTAAAAAAGATGTCTACCCTCTTAAATCTACACATATACTCATATGTAAGAAGTAGTGAGGTGAAGTGATAAAAGAAATTTATAATTCAAATGGATATATTCGATGATGTCATGTTCAATTTTTAAGTTTTCACTAGCATTATCATCATTATCATTACTGTTTACTTCATCGAACGGAAGTTATCACAATTAAACCAATCATTTAAAATCATAGACATATCAGTAATAAAAACGACCAGTGACATTTTATCCTTGTTGTTATTTAATACATTTGTTAGATTTTCACAGTATACACATAAAACAAAATAAAAACCGACAAGTAACTATGGCAACAACAGCAAAAACAAAAAAACATTTTATCGATTGTTTACGTCATTCAGAATTTACTTCTAGAAGTAGAAGTACAGGGATAACCAAATAACCTTGAAAATCCAAACTACTTATTTGGTTTTCAAAATTAGGTTAGGGATTTAGATTAAAAGCTGGGGCTAGGAGTCAGGATAAGAAATTAAGGTAAGAGTTCTCATCAGGAAATGATATCAATAGTAATATCAGTTATTTTTTACTTGACATCGACATATTTAGACCTACTATGATTTCGAATGTACTAGAAATACTCTGCATTGTTTTCCTTCGTACTATTTAAACTTGTGTTAACCTAATGTCGGTTATTTATTTGCTCTGAAGAAATGGCTTACACTATGTCACAAAACGTCAGAAATATAATTTATCTACTTGTTGGGATATAACAAAAACATATTTATGATTAACTCTCTACCCTATTCTCAATTCATTTGAAACCATTAAGTCCAACCATGGCATTGATACGATATAATTAGTTTCGGCATTACTGCTTTGCATTTAAAAACGGAATGTGAATTTATTGCCATGTAAAACAATTCTTGGCGAGACTACAATTTATGGACTGACCAATCAGATATAAGATAACAGATCTTGGATTTTGGTGAGAAATCCATTCATTCATTTGGCTAAATAGTTTTGGCATTTTAGCCGACGTCAGTTCGTGATGAAAACCCCAAATTTAATTCCCAACCCTAAACATCAACTGTAAATCATAATTTTCATATCTCACATAGTTTTATAACCCTCATTTAGTCCTAGTAAGTAGGTGGACATTATCAAGGTGGCTTTTTAGAAATTTCATGCATTTGGTTCCCTTTACGAATTTAAGTAGAGCAAGAACAAACATTGATAGAGAATAGTATGAATCCACATTATTTCGAGGTTTCTCGTCAGCTGCTCACAAACCAAAATTGTGATAGAATTTTTTTACAGCAGCTGATGAGAAACCTCGAAATAATATGGATTCATACTATTCTGCATCAATATTTGTTCTTGCTCTATTTAAATTATCAAGGTGATTTTAGTGTCTTCAAAGGTCGTTCATGAATTATAGTTGCACTCAATTCTCATCATTCTTGTGTTTAGAAGCTTTATCGTAAATGTTTTATTCCCTAGATTATTATAATTTCCATCTTGAGCTTTCAATGTCATTCTGAAAAACATGATGAAATTACTTTAACTCATGTAGAGGTTAATAGCTAGAGGTGGCCTAATTACATGGTTCACCCTCATCATGAAAGTGTATTTTTTGAGAAGTCATTATCGATGACTACTTTGTAATGATTAGATCTGCTATCTCATTGAATGTGTTTTACCAATTATTATTGTTAAAACTATCTTGAATGCTTTCACAATTAAAAAAACACAATCATTAATGAAAACTATACTATAACAATGAGATCGTATAATCACGTGACACAATCACATTCACTTATTTAACTATTCGATTGAGAATGAGATAATGAACTAGAGCAAAAGTATTATAATATTACACAATACAGAGCAATCGGTAAGTGAAATTAAAAATGGGATGAATTTTACAATATCAGATAGGCTCTTTCATATTTACTGTTGGATAATTTTGTTTTCAATTCTAGACAGGTCACTTGGATTGGATATATCAGACTACTGTCGCCCTTATTTTAAACATGGTAACACGTATCATGAATACTTACAAATAAATTTTTGGCATTTTGATTGGATGAAACTTTTCAACACTTATGAGACTCTCAACTGTCAATTCCTCACTGGTTTTTCAAAGTACTTTGAATGGTGTGCTTACAACCCTCTTTATAATTCCATTTTGTTCCATTTATTTAAAGATTGATAAAAAAACTTTATTTTATGGACTGATTTTGTTACATAACTTCTTATTAAATCATTTCCAGAAAACTATGTGGTATCACTTATTATGTGTTTACAAGTGGCCAATTACGAGTGGTGATTATTCCCGGAATTTTATTGAGAAGCCGTGGTTAATGGAATTCAACTGTATCTGATGTGAAGCACCTAATCACCAATGAGACTAGAAGACGGTCGTGTTATATCGTGAACTGAATGAAATTAAAAATAGAAACCATGGAAACCTGACTCAGAAGTTTGAAAGTTGATCGATTTCTGTGAGGTCTGAAGGTACACGACAGTTGTCCAAGGCTTCCTGTCTTCTAATCATTATCAAACCAAGTCACTCTGTGATATGAAATTTCACATTCAAAAATCCACACAACATATCAATAATACGAAAAGCTACTCTTCTCAATACATTATTCAAATTATTTCATTGAAGAGGGAACCCAAATACAAGATCAACGTTAATATCCAAATGATTTTCAAGCGAAATCTCGAATTAAAAATAGCCCGTCTCAACCCATTATCTAATGTGGTTGTTTTCAGATATAATATATCATTCCTGTTATAGAGTTAACAAATAAACTTAGTGCATATATCTCATCGTTCTTACATATTTCCTACCTATATTTACTTGATTTCTTCATTGAGTGGTTTATGGAGATCAGTTTAATGTGATAAATGATTAGATATTTTTTTATTATTACAAGCATAATCAAGTTATTTAATACTCAATCTATTTTTATTCTCTGCTTTAATTTTACATCACTTTTATTAATTGCGTAATCTCTGGTTAGGCAATAGTTCATTTTAGTCATTAATTATGCTAGGATTCCTCTCGCCCTATGTTATCTTTGCATATTTCGATTTAGACTGGGATAGGATACATGCCTATAAATTTGCAGCGCGTCTACTTCCCATCTCTTTAGTGAGGAAATATGGCACCTAACAGAAAAACGAGACTACACAATATCAATTAAGGTGATTATCAACTAAATAACTATAATAATAAACCTTTAAGTAAGCAGATGGAATGTTTAAAATATGTGAATACTGAATGAGGGTTATTTTTATAAAATAGCACTTTTCTCTAAAATTAAACTAGCTTATACGGCCATAAATTATGTAAAAAAAGGTCACTAGTACAGAGTTTTGTGGATTTTGTTAAATTTTGTAGTTTACATAAAAGATTAGTAAAACAACCACTGAAAACTGATAAATACTATTAGTATTTAAGAACTGAAAGTCATAGAAGGATTCAAACGTGCAACTCATTGGTTGAAAATTAATTTCTTTGACATTTGAACCACCATGGTGTCTATCTGGACTGTGTAGCTCAATGGATAAAGTATTAGTATTTGTATTGAAACGTACTGGGTGTAAGTCACAGAATGAATAACAACAACAGGATAATAGTACATCCAACTGACGAATACCGAATTGAATGAAACGGATATCCTGCATTCCATTATAGTGGCCCTTAATCAGACTCCAATTTGATCGTTTCTGATTGTTATCGAATGATTGCTGTCAAAATATACACTCCGCCAATCCTTATCAACGTAACTCCCGTTAGTGAATAACGGGATTAAATAAATCAAATACGAGAATGGAGTTTGAATGAGTATATTTTATACAATCGTTGACCTGAACAGATAATCGTTTGCAGAAAAGACGAGAAGAAAGCGAAGAGAAGAGAGCAAAGCGAAATGACGTGCGATAGAGAAGGCATGTAAGCCAACTTGATTTAATCAAGCGTCAATCGATATTTATAGTCAAAAATATTCATAGACCAAAAACAAGTTACAGATATGTGATGAATAGGATAAGCAATACACGCTACTAAACATCCATATAAAAACAGTTAGTATTAATAAGCTCAAAATGTGGCTCAAGAAGGGCGAATAAATTGGCCTGTTTGGAAGTTAGAACAAGCTATGTCGGCTTGACATAGCACCCGACACTACATAATCTCTGACCACACACTGAGTACATCAACCCATGAAGTCATTGTCGATGAACTAGTTGAATGTTTGATATCATATATTATTATGCCAACACCAATCTGTATAGAAAATCATGTCTTCGATCCTAATTAAACACTCAACTGATTTCCTAAATAACAAAATGACAACACGCCATACCAAGTGGATAAGTGTAAGGCAAACAAGAATTGAAATGATGCAGAAAAGCTTTTTCCATTATTATTATTTAACAAAATAGAATCTGAAAGATAATTCTCATCACTGACTAACATCAGATGTAGAACAAACAGTTCAAACTATCAAACAGTACTAAACACTTGTCTCATCTTTGCTTGAGACTCATCAGTTGGGGATATACATGACAACACACAAGATTAGAGTTAATTTAATTTGTAACAAATACGATACGTGAAATTAATTGAGCTTTGTAAATCTCTTACATAACAAAAACTAAAAATTATCATCAATCTTTCAAGGACAAATTATTCAGAATACAAAACTTAAACTATTCAATATATGTGATGATATTAGCTCACCGTTCACGAACAATCGGATATAAAAATGATTCATCTTTATTTTCATGTTGTTCCTTATTGAAATGTTCGTAATTTATTTGAGAACAATCATGATTCAAAACAAACATATTCCCAAATGGCAATTTAGAATCACAAAGAGTATTGTGAAAGGTTTTCTTTTTGGCATGTATTTTATTAGTGTATCTCAGTTATCTATATACCAATCATAAACATTTTCATAAAGTCATATTGTGGGCGTGAATAAAACAATTTCAAGGTGAAAAATTCTATATGATAATTGGTTAAAATGAGTGCCGGTTATAGAAGTAACCTTGAGGTGACCTTAGAGAGAAAGTAAATATGACAATAAAACTTTTCTTAATTCAAAATTAATGAGATTTGAAAAAAAAAATTATATGAATTCTTTAGGTGGAAACTTTCCTTTGGTAAAAAGAAAGGAAATTTGGGAGTTTTCTATTGTGACTTGAAAATGAACAGGTTCTTCTTATGTTGTAAGATTAACTATTGAAACAGATGCCTTGATATTAAAAATAGAATTATGACAGAAAACATGCTTAACAATTCTGAAACTAGAAGTTTAAAACTATAGAAAAATAATGACAACTGTATGACAAGAAACGATTATCATATAATATTTGAAGTGTTGGATAGTGTTGTTCTGTTTATAATAATGAAAATAAAATAAAGATTACTGTACTCACCCTGAAGCTATAGGTCTTCGAGGAATCGGTACATTGTCTGGGGTGAAATCCCATTCGACTAGTCCGGAAAACCCTGTTAAACTTGGAGCACCTGCCATACCGAGTTCAGCATAATCTCGACTTATTCGAGTTTCAGACAATCCAACTTCCTGAATTGGAAAAGAAAAGAAATAATATATGAACACAAATGAGTAATACTTACAGAAAAAAGATTTAGATTTCATTGATTAAAGAATACTACTGTAATTACACATAATACAGCTTACCCGATCTGAATTTATGAACACCTTAATTCATGTCATCTGTTATTAACGCTTTATAATATACATCTCGAAGTAACATCAGTTAAAAGTCAAGAAATTACTAGGAAAATGTATTTTCTTCATCTAGAGTATGTTCAAAAATATGTTATTCAAGGTATCGATTACTCGAATGACAGTACCATTCAACTTGAAACTGTTTGTAAAAAACGTTCCTATTTATTGAAGGTATGTAGTCTATTTATTTAATAGGTAGTTAGATAATCAACATTCTGCCATATTGTATCTGGTGAGACTACCTGACTACATAAACCAAATCAGGAATCGTAAAACTCAAATCTATCAAACAAAGTCTTCTGAAGACCGAGATACTGTTTCAGTATTGATGCTGTAAATCAGCTCAGAAATTACATTTTATAGAAATTAAAAGGAGTACACTGAACATTTAACATTTCAAAAAACTGGGCAGACTTGATATAGTTATCATTTTATCCGATGAATAACCAAAACTATAGTTTATACTGTCCTTATATGGTCATACAAGTAAGGAAATTACAATAAACATTTCCTTCATCAAAAGATATAAGAAAAATAGAAAAATACATCAAGTTGTATTCCAATATAAGAAGAAATCATCGCAATAAATGAATGCATCGATTAGAATGCATGAAAACTTTGAAGAGAGTAGATGTTATCCTTAAAGCCAAGATACCATGATATGCAAATTAATGTCATCAACATTTACTAATCCTGTAAATTATCAGACAAGACATGTTATATTATGAATATTATGATTATTTAACGATATAAGGGAATACAAACGAATTTATATTCTTCATTTCATCAACAAGATATAACAAACATCGTAGGGAAAAAATGAACTACATTCAATTAATACTACTTTGGTCAACACCTAATAACCGAGGTGATGTTCAAATGTTAGGGTTATATATACGTATAAATAGCTATAAGATTATGTAAAATTGACCGTAGTTATGGTAAAATAAAATTAGTTAGGAGCAGCTGCTATACGAAATAATGTTAATTGCCCACTGATGTTGATTATTGGATTGAGATTGAGCTAATGTCCACAAGATAACTACAATTAACAATCGAAAACGTGAGACAAGATAGCTCAAGTGGTATACACTTACAATGTTTTATCTACTCTCAAGTATTTTGAGCTATAATTGTTGGGATCTAATCGTACCAGTACTAATACGACCAGGTAACGTTACCGTAACTTTTCACAGTTTGGTACTATCATAACATTCTTAAAACAGGGATGCCCTGTAATTAACACCTACTTCCGTTGGTCACCGTGTCACTGAAATACGAGATATATAGTTTCAAGTGCGAAACCAAAGGTTCCAGATCTGATTCTCGGTCACGAGATCGCGGATGAACACTATTAAGTACAAGGGCAAAATGAAAGTTCAATGATTCAAAGTTCTCACTGACTATTTCAATCACCTGATTGTCTTTAGCTACAAAACGCCTCATGAAAGTTCATTCTTCTCTTGATCACCGGTTTCAGTATTCTTACTGGAGAGTTAAAAATGGATAAAGTTCAATAGCAGTTAGCTGCCTCAATGGACTCAGTAGTATTATTGAGATCAAATGAATTCATATCAGTAACAAGTTCCCTACTTCCTATTCCTTGGTAGTATTCATTCAGTATGGTAGAATTTTCATTAATAATTGTATTATTATTATTTTCTATTCCTTTGACGTGCATATTGTTGATTATTTTTCCTTATGTTTATGTCAAGTGCAATAACTCAAGCGTAGGAAATTCAAATCAGATCCCATATTGTCTATAATATAATGATTAAGTATATGGAATAGGAGTCAAGTCTAAAACACATCAATTAGTTGAAGATAAAGAAGTAAGTAATCGATATGAAATTATTGTCTTGTTATATTCTATCATGTTGAACAAATTATACATATATGTATATATTAAAACCTGCCTTGATTCTAACAACACCGTTTGTGATAAACAATTGAATTACAACTACTTAGATACTGTTTTTTACGAAAAATTTAAAAAATGATAGAATCATATACAGTAATTAAAGAAACGTGATCAGAACATTAAACACTAATAAAGACTAATACAAGCGGATAATCTTACCCTGGTACCATAATTTAAATGTCCATCACGCCAATTCAGTGCGTGAGCATTTTCCGCTGTTGTGCCTTCATGTATACTATCTTCACCTGAGTAGATCGATGAATAAATAAATAAAAACATAAATTTAATATGAAGCAAGAAAACTGATAGACTCATAATGATTTAAGGGTAATAATCAGTATCATCAATAATTGTAAGAGAAGCAAGCGTGGGAAGTTAATGTTAACAAAAAATAAAATTCAGAGGTAAGCATTTGAATGTTAGGTTAGTGGAGATAATTGATGACGCTGGGCGTAGGCTTCGCACTAATTGTTACTTATCAGCAAAACTGGATTTTTAAAAACCGATGTTTCTTATACAACAAGAACCTGGGTCGCTCAGGCTTACGGTCTGAGACATGGTCACTGTGCGTAGCGCACACGGTGTCAAGGTATATAGACTAATGGCTACATTGCAATTTGATTGATATAATTCCATCAGTAACAAAGGACTAGACAAAAATGATATTACAAGTTGAAATCATGAGCCAATTGAAGCTAGACCACCATGGAAAACCTGAAAGCACTGGACGGCCGTTTCGTCCCAGTACGGGACTCCTCAGCAGTGCGCATCCACGACCCCGCACCACGCGGAGCTCGAACCCAGGACTTACTGGTTTCGCGCGCGAGCACTTAACCACTAGACCACTAAGCCGGCATCCGACGGTGTTAATGTCTAACTTCAACCAATCCACGAAGTTGCGCCACCGTACACCATTGTCTTCAGTGAGTTCCTATCTCACAACAGACCTGGTTGAACTCCACTGGTAACGACTTCTCACTAGAACTCCAGGAGTGTCTCCTGAAGTCAGTCACTAGTGAGCAGGTGATTATTATTATCAGAATGGGTTTTGTGGAGATTTTTAGAAATTTCACAAGTTGAAATCATGAGCCAACTTGTGAAATTTCTAAAAATCTCCACAAAACCCATTCTGATAAAAATGATACTAGTTAATTCTCAATGATCAATCAGTTGCTTAGCTTCCTCTCTTAAACTTTATTATTGTCCAACTTCTTTTGATCCCCATTTTTTATTTAACAATAAAGACAAGTTATAAATAGTTCCACCGTAAAGTTAACTTCTTAGTTTACTGATCCGTAAAATTTGATCATGAGTGATTGATTCTAAAACACTGAGAAATGATCAAATAATTTAAGTTATAACATACGAAATATAGTAAATTTGAAGAAACGATATTGGCTTATTCTGACCTTCATTTTCACCAGATTTCAGTGATTATCTCCATATATATATATATAACATAGGATCAAAAAAACCAGTAGGATTATGAATAAACGTGATTTAAATACTTTTATGGAACAGATGGATTATGGCTAGTAGTGGGATTCAGGATACTTGTTCAGTCTTATTTGGGACTCATCAGTTAGATATACCTTTCATGATTTATTTATTTATTATTATTAGATTTATTCAATAATATATATATTCTCAGCAAAAAGTATTTCAGCTCGTTTCCATTTCCTATTTCTTGATCGATCATTGAGATAAATATTGAGTGATCACAAGCTAGATATCAACATTTCAGAAGTCGATAGCTGAATAACATTCATTCTTTTCAATGTGTATTGCTAGCCATCATGATGTCTCCGATTGTACATTTTTGTAACTGGTACAGAGAAAGGTCATAAACTTTTCACAAACGCACCTGGATAGGTTATGCAATTAATCGACATAACGATGTGTTAAAACAAACAAGAAGACAGATAACTTGTTGAAATATCTAGGCGGCAGGAACAGGAAGACCAGATATTCTAATATAAACTTGTAACAAAATAGCTTTACCGAGGCAGACCACACAGAATTCAAACATGCCAACTGAAACCGATAAAATTTCAGTGGAAAACATCAACGTCAAGATAATTTAAACACTTTCTAAGTTCAGTGATAATATCAAACAATTATTCAGTATTTCTTGATTTCCAGTCATTATGTAAGTGAAATCTGCCTGTGATGTGAAGTGTCTCTATTAGGTGAACAACTTCTACAAAACGCCTTTTCAACAACATTGATACACCGAAATCGCAAATCGATCTAAGCAAGATCATCACTGGAAACCTGAAAGCACTGAACGATCGTTTCATCCTAGTATGAAATTCCTAGATAGTGTGCATCAGTGATCCTGCAAGCGAGAATAAAATCCAGAAACTTTAGTCTCGTGCGCGAACGTTTAACCCACAAACCACTGAGTTGGCATTCAATGATATTAGCGTCTAACTTCAACCAATCCACGATATTGCACGACCATCTTACATTATCTTCGATGGGTCACTGCCTCAAACCCGACACGGTCGAACTCTACAAGTCACGGCTTCTCTAAAAAAATTCGGAAATCTGCTCTGAAAGCCAGTCACTATAGAGCACATGAATTCAATCATATTCGATAATCACTACGACCCATTACTGACAATTCTGAAACGTTTTGAAAATATCAGAAAAAGAAATGAACTACAAAACAAAAATTAAAAGATTGAATGAAGTAACATCATCACCTACCTGATACATTTGATAATTTATCTGGAGCTATTTTAACGTGATTCACACCACCACTACGATGTCCATAATGTTGTTCATCAGAATGTTTGTTATCTGATTTGTGATGAGATTGTGGATGATGTTGAACATATTGTTGTTGTTGTGGTTGTATGTGTATTTGTTGACTAAGGCTCTGTCTACTTTGTGCACGTGAAAATAATGGTGATGATGGCATAATTGTGAAATCCGGTTCAACTAAAGTAGAAAAATCAATAAATATTCCACCAACTGTAGTATACAGAAGTAAATAAGGCAAGCTGAAGTGAAAAATCAGAGTATAATACATACAACAGTAACTACGACTGCCACTACTACTACCAATACAAATACTAATACATTGCCTAGAATAACATTACACTAAGACGACTAGATAAGTAGCAATGTTTCTTATAACTATGATGATAGACAACGTGAATAGTGTTTATTAAGCTATTGAGCACTGTTTTTCAATTAGGTCTGTTGATAAAACGCACTGGTACACTCTAACAGGTAGGTAAATAAGTATATAAATTGTAAATTGTTCATAATTATAGTGAATTAGTGAAAATTTTAATCCACGACTCAAGCACTGGTCGAACCCACAATTTTGAAACCATATGATGAGTGCTCCTTATTTATCAATTATAATTTCATTAATCATTGAATTCAAAAGTATCATATTCTAAATACAATATTCCTTAAAACAAAACTGTCCAACTATAACAAATTAACTTTTCATATTCAATCTTTATAAGGAATCGTTACCCCTTCTCATCAGACGCACATCGAGAAATCATTATTATTACTGCATTTCTCCCTATACTTATGTCTCATATTCTCATTATTTTATTCGCAATTGCTCGTGGTATGACTTCATTTATTTCACACCTCTATTACCTTTAATTACCTATAATTATTGTAACACAAACATTTTAATCATCTTACTACATTCACGTTATAATTCGTTACTAACTTATTATGTCTACTGTTATTATTCGTATTACGTAATCTAATATTATAATCTTTCTATTACATCATCTTGGTTATTCCTTGTTCACACGGAATTAGTACTTTAACAAAGATATTTTCATATATATGTACGATAATACAGCTTGATAACAAATTCGTTGAAAAGAGATCCATTCGCTGGACTTCATATTTTTAATATTTAAATAACTGATCATTCAGTAGTAATCAATGTCATGCTTGTTTATTCCTTCAGTTTTTCATCATGACTCTACACTAATATATATATATATATATATATATATATATATATATATATATATATATATATGATTTAGAATAATGAAATAATATTCATCGAGTAGATACGTTATGCAATAATTATATGATGACATATCGATTATAAATTAACATTGAGTAATTGGAAGAAAGAGGGTTAATAATAACCAAAGTAATTATTCAAAAATCAAGTAGTTGCTACATTGCATAATATGTAAAAAAAGGGAAGGAACTAGCAAAATATTTTGATGAATGGTCAGTAGTAGTTATGTAGGAATCAAGAAACAAATGTTGGGAATAAGTAAAATACTAAAAATACAAAAAATGGAAGTTTATCAAAGTTCTACTACGAACTCCCCCATACCGTTGGCCAAGGTAGCTAGAATGGTTGTGCAAACTTCTTTTGGATGCAAAGGTTAGATTTGTGAACATGGATTGCAATGGTTTCAACAATGTGCAAAAGACGCACTCGTAAACCATGTGACAAATTTGATGGAATATGGTGGATAACCTTAAAAGTTTTATTTAGTTCAACTTGATGATTTGTGTCCATCACGTGAGCGAAAATAGAACTCTTAATCACTCTTACCTGCCTTTTGCTCAACCACGACGGATGGTGTTCTGTTATGCGATGACGAACTCGCCGAATTGTACGCCCTATATAACTGGCTCCATAGGAGCAGTTAAAACGATAAATACAAATGGATGTGACGAATTCAGACAATCTGTCTTTACTAACCGTTTTTATTGTGTAGCGGTTGTCGAAGGCGGCACTCAGTTTGGCTGCATTAAATGTTGTTTGTACCGCCTTTCTTAACTTTTGAGTCACAATCTCTTCAGCAGTATCATTTAGGAATTGTAATTTTAAGAATACTTTATTCGGAACGGTAGGTACCCTTTTCCTTATTTTCATCTCCTTCATGTGTTTGTCGATGAATTTCGTTGGGTATACATTCCTACTGAGCAAGTTACGAATATTAACCAATTCATCTACAATAATGTCATCCGAGCAAATCATTCTAGCACGATGAGTCAGGATCTTTAACAAGTTTTTTTGCATCTGATCGGTACGGCACTATAGGAACGAGTGTATTGTCCAGATGTAGACTTTCTGTGTGACCCTCTTTTTAAAGTTCCATCTGCTCGTCTAGTTAGTTGGACATCTAAAAATGATGTTATTGTTCTGTTCTTCCTCTAGTGTAAGTTAACTGATGGATGAATATTATTAATTTTCGAAAAATTACTTTGATTATTATTAGCCTTCTTTCTTCCAATTACTCAATGTTAATTGATAATCAGTATGTCATTATATAATTATTGCGTATTGTATCTAATCGATGAGTATTATTTCATTATTTAGACCATATTTATATTAGTGTAGAACCATGATGAAAAACTAACTGAAAAGAAATTTCTTTGCTCGATTCGTTCGTTTTTTATTTACCAAATATCAAAATGGGATTTTCACGATATTCCTTTAGTGTCCATCGGATTCTGTCGATTAAATTGTAATGTGTGCGTTAGTCAAAATGATATCAAGTGGAATATGTTCGGAAGTTTGTTAGACGCTCTTGACATAGGTTTTGTGCTAGTTAATATTCATTAGAATTTTCCGCTAACTACCTTCAACTCCTTTACAAGAAACAGCTTTGTTAAATAACATACATCGAAATAAAAATATCACCTAAAAAGCCAAAAAACACGGTGTAACATACTACATTCTTCTTCAGTATCTGTAATTGGATTATCTCTCATCATGTCTGGATGTTCAAGGCCAAGTCGATTAGCAGAGATATGCTGTTGTCTACTCAAAGATGAATTATGATACTCTGGACCAGATGATATAGATGATGCCAATTCTGCATTCATTGGCAATTCATCAGTATTTTCATGCTCCCATGATTCCACACATGTAGTTACCTGACGTAATGCTTCAAATATATTTAAATAATGTTGATGACGAGCAACATGCGCTGGTGTCCAACCATACTAAAAAGAAAATAATAGTTATTATTATTATTATTATTATCATTATTATAGAAATGAAAATATAAAATTAAATATGATAAGTATTAAAAATATTGTGGTGTAAAATGAATTCATTAACAGTTTCCAAAATTTAAAATAAAAATGGAAAAGTATATGTAAGTAGCAGATTTCCCTAATATCTATGATTGTAAATAAACAGAGGTATTAGGTATGAGAAATCCTATATACAATAAACGAACAATCATTGTGTCATATCCACACCATAATTGATACAGAATAAACCAGAGGAAAGTTTTTTAAGGGATGGTGATAATCCAGATAATGCCGGAGATATTGTATTTATTCTCAAGTCTGTATGATGAGATGTAAATGTGAACAGAGCTCTGCGTAAACTTTAGATTAGTCGGAACACTACCACACAGACTAATAAATGACATTCCGTTAGAATCTTAGATTAATGTTTTGCTCACGAGTTGTAAGCACAATATCTGTCTTACAAAAGATTAGTTACTGCCTTATTAGCTCAGTAGTGTGAAGTTAGGTGACTCAGGTTTGAATTTCATGGAGATTACCAGTTATCTCAAGGTTGCAAATAGGCTTTTCTTAACGAGTGCCAACTTGTACGAAAACCAGATTCGGGGTTTCCTGTCGACTACATTTAACCACATGACAATACCTTTGTTATTACTGTTAGCATATTTCATAGATATTTTTATTTGCATTGTCGGCATCGAGCAGAGTTTTATCATACACAACATCAGCGACTTTTTAACACTTAACCGACCTAGGTCTACCGATGTACATATGTACACGTATAATACCACATCTAAATCTGAAAAGTACATTAATAAACCAATCATACCCAGATGATTGAACAGCTGAAACTATTTTTACATTTATAACAAAATAAAAATAAATGTCGGCTCAATGGTCTAGTAGTTAAGCGCTCGTGTGCGAGACCGATAGGTCCTGGGTTCGAATCTCGCGAAGCGGGATCGTGGATGCACACTGATGAGGAGTCCCACAATAGGACGAAACGGCCTTCCAGTGCTTCCAGATTCTATATGGTGGGCTAGCTTCAAATGACTTATGATTTCAACCACACAAAATAAATGTCAATTTTTTTATGAATAAATACATCAATTTTCACTAAATCTACACACCGATTGTCACTTCTTTCAGTTATAGAATTAAACAAATAAAAACAATTAAAGACAGGAATACTAGTTAATAATATATATATGATATTGAAAGGATTTGATTTGATAAATTTACATAAAATGATCATTGAGATAGCTTGTTTTAATAATACAATTGTCATATAAATACATATATCAAGAGTATTTTACTTAGTTCTCCTTACAATTAACAAGACTAATTAGTCACTGTATTCATTAAGAAAGAAAAATACATAGAAACAAGAATAAACACGATCAGTTCTATATAGATATTTATTTATGGTGAAATTCAATTATATTGTTGACCTTGTTTATATGCATTTCAAAATTACTAACATGATAGACACGTATGTAATATACGTGAAAATATGAAATTATATTAAGTGGAATAAAAGTGGTTGGTAGTTCAACAACTAGGTGTTGTGTACCTAATAGTTTGGATACAGTATATAACTACTGTATTATACATAATTGTGAACTAGTTTTATTGATTAACTAAAGTATTTTTTGTTGGGTATAATAATAATAATCCGTGTAAAATTTTAAGTTCAATAGTTGAAAAAACGTACAGGAGCGGTTACATATATTTTTTCCAATGTTCAATATATGTGTCCTATCTATCATTTTCAAGTACTTTCCGTTCATCTCATGGGTGTGTATTGCATAGAAGGGGGAAATTTTCAATGAGAATTTCGTTTAGAACCATAACTCCTACTTTATCAGTCTTTTTCCATACAACATGTTGAAATGCGTCACACTGCAGTATTTATAGCAAACAGATGTCGATGGGTTCACTAAATGGATGGAAACGCTAGACATTGTTCACTTGTTGAAAAGATTTTAGTGGGATCTCGATGTGAAGTCGTAGGTAGCCACTTACTGGAAAAGTCAGGCTAAGATGAAACAGCTGTCTGGAATTCTCTGGTTTTCAACAACTCTTTAACTAAGATCAGTCTATGATGCCAACTATGTGACCATAGTAATCTAGTTTATTCCAGAACATTGTTCCGTGAATTTCCTAGCTATATATATATCATTTTAACTTATTAGTAAATCAAAAGGATGATTGTTACGGTATTGAACAGACAAATAAAACTATCTGTTATTGACGGAGAGACTATCTAAAAAACTTAATTACATCTGTAGACTAAACTTAATTCAAGTTAAGCAGTAAGTATACAAACAAATTTAAAACTAGTTTCAAGTTCGTTGTCTAAAAATATAATCCTATATATCAGTGACGAACTAGATGTACGCAATTTTAAAAACTAATACATTTTGTTGGATCAGATTTCTTTTTTGACGATAATCAATAAACCACAACATACTTCTGGAAGTATTTAATTCAAGAGTTTATTATTTTCAGAATGGTGATTTGTGAAGATTGTACTTGTTTTAAGAGTTGAATTCCCGAGTCGATCTAAGCAAGACCACCATTAAAAAACTGGAAGCACTGGATGGCCATTTCGCCATTGTACGGCACTCATCAGTAGTACGCGTCCACGATCACGTACACGAGACTCGAACACAGGACCTTCGGTATCGCACTCAAACAATTAACCTCTAGACCACTGAGCCGGCATCCAACGGTATTGATGTCTATCTTCAATCGATCCATGATCTTTTGAGACCCTTCACCCATTGTCTGAGGTGGATAACTGTTTCCACCCGACATGAGTTGGACTCCACTGGTCACGGCTTCTCACTAGAGAAATGTAATTAGTTCGAGTGAACACCAACACTGGGATGCAGGTACATTCAGCTGATTAGTCCCAAGTGTGACAAAACACGTGCCCTGGATTTTACTGCTGGCCACCATCCATTTTTGCCAATAAAGTTTGAAAGATACTTTTGATTTTATTGAATAGGAATCAGCGCATTAATTTAAGAACTAATTGAATAGTTACTTTTGGTGTGAAGTTATTATTTTTGAATGTTTCCTCAGAAGAAAAACAATTTTGATATAATATGTTGTTGTACTGATAGACTAAGGTGTTTCTTGCCGAACAGCAGTTCAAGTATGGATTGTCATCATCAACGAATAGGTCAGCCTCATGTTGATTTTGATAAACAAAACCTTTTTTGACTGATGAATATCTTGAAGTTTGTCTGTTCATATCCATTGTCATATAATGGAAGTAGTGTGATATCATTGCTTTTTTGATGTAACAGAATTATATACTGAAGATTAAGATGAAAATTTAATAGAAAATATCATAAATATACGTAATTAATCACCTTGTTACGCATATTTGGATTAGCGCCACTTTCTAATAAAATGTAAATAACTGTTGAATGACCTTGTTGTGCAGCTAAATGTAAAGCATTTGATCCCATACATGTTATAGCATTCACATCAGCACCTTTGCCAAGTAAAAATCGAACCATATTTACCTAGTGGAAAGAGATAATACAAAATACATCATAGGTAAAAAAAATTTAGTGTTTTCGTTATTAACTCATTTACCAGGTATAGAGAATTATTGTACTTTGCACCGAGGTACACTTCAAGCGTTAGAAAAGAAGAAGCTATTCGGTTAACTAAGGTCGATAGGGTGAGAGTTAGAATCTGGGAACAAGTGACTGGAAGTTTAACGCTTTGATCGCTAAGCCACAGCTTTACGAGAATTTAAGAAGACGAATAAAGTAACCAGATGGTCGCTTGGAATGCACTACACTATTCTTAAACTATTCACATCAAGAATTCTTAACGACAATGTATTAAGCTAGCAAGAAAAGTTAATATTTACATCATGATGTTAGTTGTTTCAACCGATTTTTGATCGTTCGAAGTTTCAGTCTGTTAGACGATTATTGTTTGGTTTGAACTTTGTTTGTTAAATGCATTACTCTCACCATGGACTGATATAATCTAGTGAACCACTGAAAACAAGACAACACTGGACATATCTACTTTGAATAACTGTGAAACTATTCATCAGAGCTCAACCACAACCCTGTTTGACGTTAGATAAATGGTTTGTTTACCGTACAGTAATCAAGATACGTTTAACAACGGAATTTGGATTTAAAGGTTTACAATTTCATTTCTCTAAGTAAACCCATCATTAGACAATATCAGGGGTATGACCTAACTACACAAGTCACATAGTTTATCACTAGAACTTGATCAGAACCATTTTAGAGGTAGTCACCGGTGAACATATGATTATCACATCGTTTAGGTAGATTATGGCTTATGGTTTGAAGACGGTTTTCAACATAATCCGCTATCAATTGGGGAGTTACTCAATACTCATGAAAAATCAGACCTAGTCATAGGTTCGATCTAGTACGAAGATTGTATGAATGAACTACTGAGTAGTTATTCATAGACTAGTTGTTGCTTTTAAATTGTTTACTAAATGAAATTATTCAGCAGACAAAATCTATCTTTTCAAATTGATAATTTGATAGCATACAATAAAATTGCTTTCATTTGACTCCTCAATTTCATATGACTTATCATTCCTTAAAAGTTATCCAAACATAAATAGTTGCACACACATAAACAGAGGAATTAGCAGCAACGTAAGATAGTTATAATATGAAATCGCTTTAATACTATATATATATTACTCACTTGACCAAAATGGCAAGCTGTATGTAAAGGAGTATATCCTGCTTTTGTTTTCAAATCTAACTCAGAACCAGCGTTAAATAATAATTCTGCAGCTTTAACACTATCCTCTTGTGCTGCTAAATGCATTGCTGTAAGACCATTCTAGACATAAAAATAAATAAAACAATTGTAAGTTTAAATTAAATATTGAGAATTAGTTATTTATTGTACAGACATGAGACAGTAAATTGTTGTCAGATAATTTTATTTTAATAAGCCCTCATACTGATATATATTCCCTACAACTAATTATCATGAGTCCCACATGATGACGAAACAGCCATCCAGTGCATTCAGGTTTCCAATGGCGATCTAGTTAAGAAGATCACTTCATGATTTCAACTGTGAAAATATAAGTGATTAGTTTGATAATTTAGTAATGCAGTCTATCAAATGCCAATAAATCTAGTGCTGTGAATAAAAATTCGCCTTAATAATGATGTGGTGTATGCTACTTATGTCGACAGACGGAAATTATAACCACCGCAAGAGCGACTGTTTAAAGGGGGAACGAGTGTGGTGTATGCTACTTACGTCTGTCGACATAAGTAGTATGTAACACCAAGCACAAGTGGAACGCTTGACATCAGAAAGTTGGGAAGATCGTATCGAAGAGAACGGGGACAGAGCGTAATTGTAATAGCAAAAAAGGAACGATGAAGATTCAAACAATCGATGGGGGATTTGGAAATGAAATATTTAATGTATGGACTTCACAATAAATTGGTCTTCTCCACCTGTATTTCCGTTTACAACAATGAGATTAGAAGAAAAAGAAAACCATTGTACTGAGAACTAAAACAACTTATCTTTTATAAACAATATATGTAACTGAAACTCTACAACTCTTTTAAATATCACATAATATATACGATTAATAGTGGATTAAGGCAAAAATTATAAAAGGATTTGGTAAAATCGTACTTCTGCTTATTTGGACGCCGAGTTATGTTCACTAGGAATAAATCTACGATTAGATCGACAAACCATTCAGTAATAGCATTGCTAAACACCAGGTACAATTTCATACTGAAGGTCTACAAAGTAGTTTTTAAAGGCGAATAGAACATGACTACTTGGAAAGTAAGGTTGGTAAGTGGCTAAATAATTCTGAGATGAACTATACTTCTCAGTCAAGTTCCTTAGTTTGCAAACTATTTACACACATCTAGTTACTGATCAACTGCTAGTTTTATTCACCCATATTTATTGTTTGATTGAACATTGTAAATGATCCTTAGTTTTTACTACAATCACTGTAGATGTCGTCTAATGAGTGATTGGTAAATAAATTAATCTTCTTCAGTCTCGTTTTCTTCCTTGAGTTGCAATAGGTAACAGATAACGGTTACTCTGCAGCCATAGTGAACAGCTATATCTCAGTAGTCGTAACCAGTATTTAATTCGACTCACAACACTAATAAATCAATCTTGTTTCAAGGCAAAATATTTTTTAGATGCCTATTTCAGAACGATGTCAACTGACTTGAAATCGTTGCCTATGCAGCAAATGAAGCCGATGAAAATTTCGTCGACACGTCTATATGCTACAATCTACGCGACGTCGTCAGCTGTGTAGATTCCTTATCATATTTCGGATTTTTTGTATGATTTACTTGATGGCATTATTTTTTATTTTTGGCTCAAAAGTTATGATCAGATTTAGATTTGAATATAAAGACAGCGCGTGTAAGTTACAATTACTGCTATGCAAACGTGGCATCAAACAGCATAAAAGTACTCAAATCTCATACTGTCATGTCAGCCAAGGGACCAAAAATTTGGAAATACGGTAAAAACACTGACAAACGTTTTAGAGATCAGTCTAGACTTTTCAACACATGAAATAGGTGCACGAAGCCTACTAAACGAGAATCTAATGATCATAACCCTTGTGCAGGTATTTTTAACAGACAATGTGAACGATTTAAGTTACAATCCTTCTCTGACAACCAATTCAAATATCTACATCCTCCCAAAAAATCCAAGTAACCTCACATATAACCACAAGATATGAGTGGCATGGTTATAGTTAAAAACGTTTACAATCAACAAGCAAAAGATTCTACTACTCAAGAGTACAAGTCAAGCTTTCCTTTTTGAATGAATACTAATGAGATTATAAAGCACAATGAAATGCAGTCCATATGGATTATGGATTTACATGAACCGAGGTATAAACTTTCTCAGCTTTTTCCTATTAGAATCTCAATAAAATTTCGTGAAATTTGTGATTCACTGATCCAAAACAACCTATTTAGATTATAATAACGATATAAGGTTGAGAAGTGTCAGTATTCCATCATTAAAATATAGATCTCCATTAATCTACCGAATAAAATATGCAATCTAATCGAAAACTAAAGCGAAAGTACTAAGTATTTCTAGGAAACGTCCTTTATTGAAACCACTGGATTTAAAGTATACATTGTAGATTTAACAGAATTTCCGAAAAGTACATTTACAAGAACATTATAATAAGGTTATACTCTTTAATCCAAAATGAGATCATGAGATATGAAAACATCGTTGACATTTTATTGTAAACTTCATATGCATCTACTGATGGATCTAGTTGTATTGTTTAAATTATTAGACATGTTCAACCTCTATCGTTCAAAAAGCGATAAAAGAGAACGATTAGAACATTTAGACTTGAATATGAAGTGAATTCTGGAAAGCAAACTGATTTCGGTAAGCAGATTTTAAAAGCTATCCATTGTACGTCACTTATTGTATGTTATATATAAGTAATTAAAATTTTAATTAGAGCAAATTTAACACGCATCTGCCCTTAACACGTATTTTACCTGTGTTCAGCATTTTCATCACCAAACATTTTGATTCAGATTAAACATACAACTTCTGAAAATAATATCCTCCACCATACCCCACAACTTAAATAACATTTTTACTTAGCTTTTATTACTGAAATAATAACTCACTGTTACCAATTGATGTTATTAACTGTAAAAATGTCTTCTAACTATTATGGTCTAATGCTGTATATGTAAGCAAATATACTGTTTTTAATATTTCTTATCTTAATTTCAATAGTTATTCATTCTAAAATTAAATAAACTCTATTAATAAACTCACTACTACTAGTATTTTACACTTGGAAAAAGTTAACAAACTCATATTCTAGTGTACACTCATGGAATAAGAAGATAAAGGAAATGAATACATTTTATTGTGAAATTAGTTCAACTATTGAACGCGATTCTTCACAAGTATTTAAACACATGTATTTTTTAAAACTCATCTAACTACTATAATCAAAATAAGTAGTTAGAGATTGAAATGTTATTAAATTGTAGTTATTAAATCATTAATTTGTATCTGGGTAGTTAAGTGTATAGATTTACTAATTAATTTATCCTACATGCACGTGCAAAGATGTCCCAAAAAGTGCTTAAGAATTCAAGAATTAGGATACACCAGTGAATGTGTATACTAAGTTACTACATTAGCTGGACTCTTTGAATCTAGAGAATAAGGTGAATAAATTTATAAATAACAACATTTCTAATATAACTGTATAGAGATGTGAGTTACATTCAGTGTAGTGGGGTGTTATAACTAATATGAAACTGAAATTGGACTAAATATTTGTAATGGTGTATGAGGTTCGACTTACATTAACAGTTTTGAATTAACTGTAAACAAAGCTGTAGTTGGAATAACATCATTCGCATGCCAACAAAAAAATAATAACATAATACTACAGTCATTATGTGTAAAAAACGAAAATTTCAAACCACTATTAATAAATTCTTACACGTTGAATAGGTTAACAGACATCTCAAATCAATTATTCAATAGAGAGAGAAGTATAAGGTCGAAGTTTCAGTGTAAAAATCAACTTTGGGATGTAGGTATATCCAGTCAAAAAGTCTCTGATAAGAAATAACATCCGTTCTCAATTCCACCGCTAACTACATACCAAATATACCAACATTTATGACATAACCCTATCTCAAAATAATATGCTCGCGATGTTCATATGAGAACAGCAGCTGATAAATTACTATACTAAATATCAACTATGGAAAGTTATTCTAAACCCTTACTAGTACTACTACTACTACTACTACTACTACTACTAATAATAATAATAATAATAATAATAATAATAATAATACAGTGGCTTACTTTAGCTAAAGCATTTACTTTAGATCCAGAATCAATTAGTAATTTAGTCATTTTCTCATTTCCATCTTGACAAGCTAAATGTAACGGAGTGAAACCATTACGTGATTGTATACTACAACAACCACCATCGACACCACAACCGCCATTATCATTAATATTTTTCTTATTCTTATTATTACTGTCAACAGTAGCTTCAATTAATAATTTGCCAATATCCACTAAATGTTTTTCTGCGGCAATATGCAATGGAATAAAACCATTTTTAGCTTGTGAAACTGGAGATGCCTAAAATTTTTAAAAAAAATAGAGGAGGACAGAAATAATTATACGATTTTTAAAGTAATGTGTTGGTATGTTCGGATGTATAACTACTGAAGAAAAATAAACCTAGATTTATTAAGCCTTTGTAAATACATAATTGTTTAGACTCGTGAGGAAGTCTGTAGTATCTTTTATCTAGGTCATATTACAATGCTAAAATTTCGCTGTTATCTAATTGTCTGTTTTCGCTTTTGGTTCACTATTTTTTTAGCTCAAGATTACATTCGTTATTACGTAAACGAGGTTGTTATAGTATAATTTTTGACTTCTTTGAATACCAAACAATTTCCGAAAATCCTGATTTCACCCTTTCCCACTGTTAGTGGGAAAGTGTTGTGTATAAATCAGCTGATCTATTTAGTTTTCAGAGATCATGTTCTTATCAAAAGAATCTCTCAGTTGTTTATAATTCGAGATTATCGTAAGTTAAAACCACATATTAGTGATCAAAAAATGAATCAGGAACCGAACAATGAGTAAAGCTTAATCGGTTCTAAAATAACAAATCAAACTATACATATCAATCACAGAAAAAACAGTTTTGTCACTTACTCTGAAGAAGTGGCTTACATTCAGTCACGAAACGTCAGAAATACGATTTTCTACTCATTGGAATGTAACAAAAATTATGTTTATTATTAAAAAAGATAGTTGTTCATTTTAGTAAATCACTAGAGTCCTTTTAAACTTAAGCAGTGATTGAGTATCACCATATAGTATTCATGATATGTGAATTGATGTATATTCACAACCACACATACATAGACTAACCTAACTTTATTGGAACTGAAATTTCAGAAGCGTGGATAATGATCATTCAATACTTCTACTATCCTAAATCCTAATGTTTTGAGTATGATATGTAAATATAGACGTTTCAAATGAAAAGCCCTAAACTAAGTTTGTAAAAAAAGATATGAACTTCAGAGTTATAAACAGAATTCGATAGTGGGTAACAGTGGAATCAAGGAGGCTCTCTCGTCAGCTGGATGCACTAGCACCCGTGTTAGTGTTCACACGATGACTAGAACCTGGTAGGTTTCGTTTTAAATGATCAGTACGTTATTAAGTTAGCTACTGAGTCCAGATAAATACTGACTTGATCAGTGGGATAGACTGCAAATGACCAAATATCCTTTTGGCATACATAGATCCTGTGTGAATTGCCTCGTTATTGCTATCAAGCTACAAACATTTTAACTGCAGTCAGTAACATCAACGAGAACATTAAAAAAATACCAATACAGATGAATATGGACGTAAGGTTTAGATAAAAAAAGTATCAACCAAGAAATGTGTCAAGAAGATGAAGCAGAGAGGGATGAAGGCAAATAATTAAGAGTTGTCCATGATTTAATGATTCTGTCAAGTTCCAATTGAGTATAATCAATAATGAAATGCTTTAAATTTTGTTGAAGTTCTCGGAGAACTTTGGAAATGTTCGTGAGAAATGTTTAAAACCAGTGATAATGAAAAAATAATTCTAAAATCTTTATTCTCATGCCCAAGGTATATTGTTTCAAGACTACAAAAAACTTCTTCACGATTACAAATACACCTAGGATGAGATAGATGTCAACAAATTTAAAATAATTTGGGCTAAAAAAGGTTTACTGTAGTGCAGTATACTGTGACCTCTTACATTACTTAGTTTAATAGCTACTATGAAGATAAGTCAATCATGTTTAGCGAATTATTTTTACTTGACAAAAATCGATCATTAAAATGTCCCCAATTAAATTGATCAGTTAAAAGATGATCCTTTTTCAATACCTTATTATTATAATAGTAACAACTAATCAGTCTATTAACTAGTAGGAAAAAAGGATATAAAATTGACTATATGAAACTTATTTGTTAAAAGCAGCGTTATAATCAAGAAAAGTAACTTTAAGAGCAACGATATTTGAAATGCAGGTAGTCTAAACCAAGTTTCTATTCGCTTATTTTTTTCACATTCCTAATTAATACAGTTCGTGTCTGACGGTTTATACACACCATTTAGTTAAATCAGCACTTCATGTACGTAGTCAGCGGTTGGACTCAGCCGTGATGGTAGGTAGGTAAAGATTACCTAGTTAGAGTTTACACGATTATCTTAATCAATAGTTCCAGATGTTGGATAAAATGACTCAAGCTCAGACACAATGAAGAATATGCATCCACTCTTTGTCTTCTCTCAAAACTCAGCTTTCGAAACCATCTTCATTATTCCCTCTCGAATCATAGTATCTGTTCCTAACTTCTTCTACTACTGCTACTGTTTCTACTCCAACTATTCTGGTATCTCACTATACTGATCTAGTGTCGTAACGTGAGCCAATCCACATATCTCCCAGGTCCTGCAATGTCCATGCCCAACTGACTCTTGTTCAATAAAAACATTTAAAAATGGATTTTGTACATAATCAACTTAGTTATTAGTACGAAAAATCTGTTTCCTGAGTTTAACACCCGTGGATAAGCACTAGGATAGAACAGCTATCCAGTGTTTCCCAGTATTCAGTGATTTTTCAACTAAGATCAGTGCATGATGTTAACTATGAAGTGATATTTAATTGAAATCTAGGTGAACATGATGAAATTGATTGGTTTTATGATTAAGTCACAGTAGAAAGCTTTAATATAAAAAACAACTCACTTTATGTTCAAGTAATAATTCAACCATAGGTAAACATCCGTAATGTGTAGCCAAATGTAATGGTGTTAAACCATTACGTCCAACTGCATTCATATCAGCACCGGATAAAAGTAAAAATTTAGCTGTTTCTAAATGCGAATGTTTCACAGCTAAGTGTAATGGAGTGAAACCAGACTACATGATTGTAAATGAAGAGAGATATAAACAAAAACCTTTATTAGTAGTATGGAAAACAATTTGAGAACACTGTAGAATTTTCGCAGTTCAAATTATGAAATGCTCTTAGTTAGCCTAACGTATAAAACCTGGAAGTAAATGATAGTTCGCTTGTCCTAGCATGGGACTCCTCAGCAGATCCTAGGTTCGATCCTCGGATGCCGAGTAGTGAATGGGCACTGCTGAAACGTTTCATATTAATACGAAATGGACGTTCAGTGCTTTCAGGTTTTTAATGGTGATCCAACTAAGAACACTTCGTGATTTATACTGTGGAAACAATTTGTACGAAATTAAAGAAGGAAGTTCGAAATAAATAATAAATTTATTGAAATAAAAAATGATATGTATCAAACAAAATAACCTTTTTTGATCTTTTTTCAAATGTATTTATTCCATTACTACGTTAAGATGGTAGACTGAGCAATTTTAGTCAAATCTAAGCAACCTAAAATTTTGGGACAACTGGGCATCTGTCCGAGATACCACTACTTTATGTCTTTTTGCACATTAATATGAAATTAATAAAATGAATACCGAGGTAGCAGAATTAATAGATCTAGTGATAACGAAAATGGTTAAACATAGAGATTCTGAGTGGAGAAAAAAGAATGAACCCTCAGAACAAAAAGTATGAAATCTTATTGAAACTCTGGATCTACGAGTAAACTAGGAGTAAATGGACTTAAACTGCTATGACTGACTCCAACCACTGATCGGAACAATCAAGCGGACCGCAACTAAATATTCTGTACATACTCATGATCTATGGGAGAGCTATGAATAGACATTATCGAGGCTTTTCGAACTATGTTTGAAAACAACTGTTAAATGATTCCTATTTTCTATACACAGCATATTTATAAAGTAAACATTAAATTACTTATGATTCAGATCATCATTACCAAAAACTCTCGAAGCGAGAGTGTACTGAACAATTGGTTCGCCTGAATATGGAACAGTTCGGCAGCACATAAATGCGATCGTACTCAGGACCTTCAGGTTTCCGACCAACTGCTCAACCTTTAAGCAGACAAGTCAGCGTGATGTAGACGATAGGATTCAACCATTTCCATAAACCTCTTACACAAACATTAATCCGTTTAAGCAAAGATGTATGGTGGCAAGCAGTGGAATCAAGGACGCGCGTTCCATACCGTTTGGGAATCGTCAGTTGGAAGTCCCTACATCCCAGAGTTGATGTTCACTCTAGGACTCGAACCTATAACCTTTCGCTTCAAACGCCATTGTGTTATCCACTTAGCTACAGGTACACCAGGTTGACGAGTCCCAGAGAGGACGAAACGCACGTCCTGAATTTTACCGCAAACCATCATCCATTTTGCTTATAATACTTTAGATTTAAGGTAATATCGAGGCAATCCACAAAGAATGCACATATGCAAATAAGAGACTGATCAATTGCAGTCCTAAACATTATTGGGAAGATTCAAACAAACAGTACAAAATGTAATTAAAAAAGCACATTTTAAATCATTATCAAGAATATAGAGAAATATGAAACCAATATCCTAAAACTGATAACAACTAAAGAAGGCTCGTCATAACAATTCCTTTGAGTATTTTTCCCATAGATACCAATTCGATCATCTTTATTTCTGAATTATTGTATTCAAGTATCCATTACGTTTATTAGGAAAGTAACATAAATTGAAAATAAACTACAAAATGCACAGTCAGGTTGCGTAAATTCTTTTATAATAAGATAAAGATAAATAAACCAAAATGAATACTGGACAGTTATTTCTTTCTTGCGTTATTTAATTTTACCACAACAAAAATATTTGATAACATATATAAACGGGAAATACAGCATAACTGTTAATTTCATGATTGGTGTGCAGGCCATAATAATACCAGAAAACTTTGGATAATTTGACCCGGAATTTCAATCCACAAGATAATGTGTTTATATCAGAATGATTTTTTTAAAATTTGAACACATATATATTGGTACAGGAGTGCACCAAATATATATGCGCCACACAATTTCAGTTCATTAATTGCGTGTGGGCTGCGATACTGCCCGGGTGCCCAGACCGAAGCAGGTGGTTATCTTAGGGGGCCACACCCCGAGCCTTTGACCTAAAGGTTTAACCCACAAGGCAGTGGAGCATCGTAAGGAGATGCAGTCCCATGGTAGCCGGTGACCGAAAATTGGTTCATACGCCATTTGTTCCCGCAGGATACTGGTGCCCATGTGCACCATAGATTTGGAATCCGGTTAAAGCGTCGGACATTCGCTTTTCGTCCTCTCATTTTCATAAACAACACCCCCGCCACAAGAAGGCAGTGAGTAGGACTTCCCTGGCAGAGACTGTATCCATTTTGATGGTAGCCAGTGACTAAAATAGGTGCATACACAACTCGTTCGTCTAACATTCTAAAGACCACGTCCACTATCGGTTTGAAATCAAGGTTTCTCAATTGATCAATTACTTATGTGCACCGGACATTGGTTTTCACTTTCTCATGTCCGTGTTAATATTGCCCCACCTCAAGTAAACAGAGTGTATGATCTTTCCTCACTATGGAGGATATAAACGATCGGCTTATCAATTCCCATTCAGGGTTCCTCGTGTAAACCATTCACACCATTAGAATCTAGCATGTTGTCATTTACAGACATAGTCAAAGATAATATTTATAGTTAAATAAATTAAAATATTTTATAATAAACAATAATATTTAATTACCTTCGTTGTTATTTCTAGTTCTGCTCCATTTTTTAATAATAATTCACATATCTCTTTATGATTACCTTTTGCAGCTAAATGTAATGCTGTATAAGTATCTTTGGTTGAACACTGTACATTAGCAGCATATTCCAATAGTAAAGTGACTAATTCTAAATTACCAATACGTGATGCTATATGAAGTGGTGTCTGGTTGCCCTGATTTTACAAATAATTAGGAAGAGAGAGGAAGAGAAAGATGAATAAAGGAGAAGAGAAAAGGATGATTTATTGATCTTTTCTCATTAATCATCTATGAAAAAACAATATTACGATGCATTTTTCAATTAATAAGTAATACTTGTTCGATAACAGCAACATTCGATTGAAAACTAAGATTTCGAAGGATGTAATCAGTTTAATTTCATAGTGTACTTCATGAATTGATTTCAGTTAAACAATCGTTGAAAACTAGTTAGTACTGATTGAACCAGTGACTAGTGGAATTCAACTGTATCGAGTGTCAGATAATCTCCCACTAATATCACTGGGAAATGGTCACGTGAAATCATGAATTGAATGAAAATAGATATGTAATCAGTTGAATTCCAACTCAGTAGTTCCGATGTGAAATGCTCGCGGTGAGAACTGAAAATTCTGAGTTTGATCCCTGGTGTGGTTGTAGAGAAACAGTGTTAGGAAGTCTCATATACGAAAGAGACAGCTATATAGTGCTTAGTGGTTTTCACTAACTGTTTAATTAAAGTCAATTAGTTAGTTCAACTATAAAATTCAATAATCTACACAAATCCCTTACGCTGATAAAAGTCTTTTTGATGCTGAACGAACAATTTGCCACATTTTTGAACCTATCACACTAGAAAATAAATGATCTTGTAGCTGGAATGTTCTGTAACAAGCATTAGATGATATTTGATAAGAAGACATTTTTTCAAACATCTTGAAGCAATATCTCAAATTTAAATGATGAGATTCAATGATCTCTGAGAACTAATACGAAGAAGCAGTTGATGATTGAATTCGAATTATATGTTAGTTTACTTACCACAGTTTAATTGAATAGATTATGTTTATGGTTTGAAACTAAAATCACAATAATCTGTTGTCTTATTGTAGAAGTATATGTTCACATACATGAATTAAGTAGTAAACAGTTAAGAACTTTACTTATCATCAAAAACAACCAGAGATTAAATGACGACTTTATCACAGAACACAAAGTAAACTCTCTTTTTGTTTACAAACTCTAAGGGTAAGAGCATAGATTCGGATTAAGACCTGTAGGTTTATGGACACGGTGCTATATTTGTTCATGATTATGAAATGAACAGAAATTCCTAAGCTTTGAAGAAATAACTATACAATGCTTACTATTGGTAATTCCAGCATTTTTACGTTGGAAAAAAATCAAACAAAAGCATAAACAATAATGATTTATTGGTAATAATTTTGTGAACTGTGACTTATTTGACAGTATTAAAACATTATTTTATTACGTCTATATTACATGGGAAACAAATCTAATACGTGATATAAACGTATACATTTTAGCATAAGTCTTGTTCCATAAAGGAAAAAAGACAATGCATAATATTGAATAATATAAGTATCAATACTACGGTTGAACTTGATCATTTCAAATAAGTTGAGTATTGAGTAGAGAGTTAATCATAAATTCATTTTTGTCATATCCCAATGAGTAGAAAAATTATATTTCTGACGTTTCATGATTTAATGCAAGTCACTTTTTCAGCGTAAATAAATAACTGAAATAATCATTATTATTGAATAATATATAGTTGAGATTCAGATTTGATAAGAATGAAATCGTTGATTATTTAACGAATTCCATACTGGTTTTTTATCAAACAATTATCGGTGTTCCTCTCACTTATATAAACTAGTCTCTTAAAAATACATTTAAACATTTCATTACAAAAATAGTGGATCAGTTTCGTTCAATTAATTATATAACTTACTCTAGCTTTCACATCCACTTGAGCACCATTACGTAAGAGTAGACGAGCTACATCAGTTTGTCCAGCACGTGTTGCCAAGTGTAAACTAGTTTCACAACGTACAGTTGGTGCATTTGCATTAGCACCATGTTGTAATAATAAAACGACAATATTTAGATGCCCCATGAAACATGCAACGTGTAATGGTGTTAAACCAGACTAAAATGAAAATAAATACTGAAGTGATATAATAATGCAATGATATAACAAACAAAAGTATAGTCCCATTAGTTTTTTCTGTGATCTTTATTGTCATGTTTTACTAATTATTTGCCATCTGATTATATTTTGAATAAAAATGACACTTTTAATTGGCTGAAGTCTATTCAGCTGACTGATAACCTTATTTTGTGAAATTAAATTCCATGGATGTTTCGACCACCTTATTCATAAGAGTATTTTAGTATTTGATTTCGCCACCATAGATATGGATATCATCAGTCGATCAGAATAATATTCATTCATTTTAATAACCGAAAATTCTCCCGTAAAATCATCAAGCACAAATTCGCAATACGTTCATGAATGAAGTCAGTATTCTCAAGGGTCAGTGCCCATATGGAGTCAACCAATTTAGGAATGAGGCAGTAAATAGCTAATGACAATCATTGATGACCATGGAATACAACAGATCAACCGAAGTTAAACCATTGAACATATACTCTATGGTGATTGGATAACTTCGTGTTCTTCATGAAACATGAATGATGCGAGTTCAGTTCAATGTAGGTGGACATATGTGTACTCTACTAAACAGTACCAGATAACTTCAATTAAATATTTTCTCAGTGCTTCTTGATGACAAACGGTTCTCTAGTTGATGCTGGCCATTCGGTGGTGTTTTGTTCCTCGTACCAGAGGGTTTGGTTACAAAGCTGTCATTGTCATTATGAAATAGCACCCGAGTAGGCACGAAGTAGGGGCTGATGTTGGCCAGGACGACAATGAGATCTCTTCAATGAAACTGTCTGGTTCAGAGAACGCAACACCACCCAATGCATCTAGCTGAGTTACAAATCTTCATAATGTCAGCCGCTGTTGAAAAATTTGCCTCGACAAAATTTACATAATTGAATAAGTAAGTAGAAAAGAATTATTTTTTGTAACTCACCTCTGTTGTAGCTTGAATCAAACAATTATATTTCAATAACAGTTCAACAATTTTAATTCGATTTTTTTGACATGCAATATGTAAAGGTGTAAATCCATTCTAACAAAGCAAAAGAGGAAAATAATAAAACTTTTAATTATTGCAGACTTTTCTTTATTCATAAACGTAGTTATTAGTTGCTACGTATTAATTGTAGCAGTATTGTTATACACCATGAAGCTCTAGATTGTTGTTTAGTCCCAGTATGGGACTTCTTACACCCACAACCCAGTCAGGAACCTAAATCAAGAACTTCATAGGTTTCCCATTAAATGCTTAACATCTAAACCATCTGTTTGAGATCCAGTAATACACATTTCTGACTCCAATCAATCCAGAATGTAATTTGGCCATCGTATATTATTAATATTCCATCAGAGTATGCTAACCAATGACTAACTTCAAAATGGATCTTCAAAATTATAATGAGAAGTTTCAACTGATGAATTTCAAAAATTCCGAAAATGAGTGAGTAATTAATGATGATATTAGATGAATGTAACGCAATACAAAGAATCAAGTAGTGTTTTTGTTATGACTTTAAGTTGTGACCGACTCGGTGACAGTGACACGTAAACACGTACGGACGGCCTAGAGTCTCGATTGGTCTCACTCCCCTGTCTAGCCCAGTTAGTTGAGTCCAGAACACAAGCCACCGCCTCGGAGATATGAATCATTATATTTCAAGCATACTTTGTTTATATACCAATCAAGCACACCACATCGTACCATAAAATAGAAAACAACATTTTGTACAATATACAACAAGTGAACAGATATCGACCAATAGAAAATATCCATTTAAAGTCCAAGGACACCATTGGACTTAACATGATAATTATTGGTCTATTCCTCCGCATCCACAACAGTTTTAAATACAAACAATTTTCCACTTAAATGTGAAATGTTACTACAATTGATCCTAAACCGCTAGGTGCTTGGCTAAAAGTTTTAAGGAAAAATGCTGATACACTACAGAAAAAACCATGAACTAAGATGACACAATCGTCAAATACCCTGCCAATTTTAAGCAGCTTAGCAGATAATATCAATCTGCAATGAAATTTCCATGTATATATAAAACTGAAATGCAAATACTAGCGAGTGATTCTTTCAGGTACACATGTTATTACCATGCAGCTTAAAAGCTCTCTATTTGAATGTCAATTCAAAATAATTCAACTGTATCACACAATTAAATTCTACTTACACTAAAATTAGTGCTTCTAAAAAATTTATTGTTTACTCACTAAAACTAATGAAAATGCCTAGCCAAGAAAATTTATAAAAGGAACACTAGTAAGAGCATTATTGGTGAATAAAGAGATACTAATTAATTCAAAGAAAAGAAAATAATCAAGATGAAATCGAATAAAACCATTTTAATATAGAGTTCTGATGAATTTAAGATTTTAGGACCTTACTTTCGAGTTATACCAGTTATTGTTCATGTACTAGAAACCCTACTTCTATCCAATCATTTGAAAAGAAATATTCTAGTAAGAAAGAATATGAATTCATGAGGTAATAACTAACATTTTAACGCTGAAATCAACTATTACTAAGACAGTTTTATTTATGTGCCGGGACTAAGTTCAAGGAGTTGAAGTATAAAATAGAAAATAATCCATATTACGTAAGAGATAGTTATTAGTACTGTGTGATCTAGTTGATAACTCTTCTGAAACCTGAATCAAATAGTATTCTTATTTATTCTCATTAAGATTCGGCTAAGGACAAACAATTTAAATTCCGATGGTTACTGACAATTACAATCAGAAATACAATTAAAATAGTGACAATAATAATCTGGCGGTCTGCCTGAATATCTCGACTACGTGTTCTTCCCATCTAGATATGTCAACAAGTTATTTGCATTTTTTGTTTATTTTAATAAATCATAATGCTTATTAGTCTCATAACCTATTCAGCTGCTTTTGTGAAACGTTTACAACCATTCTCTGTACAAGTTACAAAAATGTACAATCGGAAACATAGTGACGACTGGCAATATTCACTGAAATGTTAATATCCAACTGGCAATCACTCAATATTCATCCCAAGGATCGATCAAGAAATAAGAAACGGAAAGTTGTTGAAATACTCTGTGCTGAGAATTTTATTCTGTACCAAAAAAATAATATTGAATAAACCCATTAATAACAATAATAAATAAATAAATTTCACTGATTGAAATCATGAGTCAATTAAAGTTAGACCACCATGGAAAGCCTGGAAGCACTGGACGGCCGTTTCGTCCTAGTATGGGAGTCCTCAGCAGTGCGCATCCACGACCTCGCCCCCTGCGAGACTCGGACCCAGAACCTACTGGTTTCGCGCGCAAGCACTTAACCACTAGACCACTGAGCCGGCATCCAACGGTGTCAATGTCTAACTTCAACCAATCCACGAAGTTGCGCCACCGTACACCATTGTCTTCAGTGAGTTCATATCTCACAACCAACCTGGTTGAAATCCACGGCTAACGGCTTCTCACTAGAACTCCAGGAGTGTCTCTTGAAGTCAGTCACTAGTGAGCAGATGATTATTATCAGAAGGGGTTTTGTGGAGATTTTAGAAATTTCCATGGTGGTCTAGCTTCAATTGACTCCTGATTTCAACCAGTGAAATTTCTAAAATCTGAACAAAACCCCTTCTGAAAATAAATAAATAACAAAAAGTCATCTATGAATAATGTTTATAGACTAGAAAAGGTCAACCAATTAAAAAGTACAAGTTAGAATTCATGCCACTCAATATCACCAAAAGATAAACTGTAAATAAAATGAAACATATGTATCATCCCCATTTTTTCTTATTGATATATGCAAGTACATAAAATCGAATACCAATGTTTTCCTTTAGATGAATAATTCACACGATTGTGAAAAATAAGCACTTCATAGGATAACTGGAAATTTTTTGTCAGATTATGATAGGAAAGAAATAATAATGATATTCATAATAATAAAAGTATTATACATTTGATATCCTTTGTTCTAACCTACCAATTGCAAATTGTTTGAGGTCAAGTGAAACAAGAATATGTTTCTAACCGTGGGAAGTGACAAAAAAATCTATATTAATCATATCTTATAATATCCAAAAGACATATTCGTATCTATTACAATCATTAAATGTGAAAATCAAATTTCTTGATTTGGTATTTATCGCAGAATAACATCAGCTAAAGAATCACTGAAAACCATGAATTAGTAGATAGTTGTGTGAGGTGGTTACAGATAGTCGATAAAAAATCCCAAACCTACGTTTCGTGTTATTTGGAACACTTCAGCAAGTTATACCTGTGACCTGCAGGAAACGAATGATCCCATTGGGATTTTAACTTGAATCACCCAGCTTCATAGTATGAGATATTATCACAAAGCTATTTGGACAATGACTGTCTTCCTGTGAGGCTGAGATAATTATGACTGGTCACTGAGTAGTGGCCAATATTATGATCGTCTTGTCCTTTAACATCGATCGACCAAATTGTTATGTGGCCACTCGATCAACTAATTATACAGACAGTTATTTTGTTCTGCGTTGGGACAATGTTAAGATACATACCCTCAAATAAGACTAAGAATGAACCTCAAAAAAACTTCAAGTTTCATATCAAATACGTTAAATATAGAACAATGAATTTTAATTCTATGGTTCAAAAATTTTCAATTAATTTGTGATACAATGAGATCTTTCTAACAATGTCACCACTCAGTTATGGTCTCATCGCTAAACAAGTTTACCTCATAAGTCAGAGTTTCATTGTAATATCGTTTCTTTATTTTGTAGTTAATGAATATCAATCTATAGTAGAATTAATTTGGGACAAAGATCATCTGTAAACTCTAGAAAACATTTTCACAAAACCATTATTTATGAAAAAATATATTTTCAAATATAACCTGAATAATTCTTAGTCTGCTATGAAGTTCTAAAGATAAATCAATATTCCCAGTCATGTATAACAATTTATAAATTTAACTATTCTCCCTTGTCTACATATCCATTCACAATGCTCTCTATATTTTATTCATCTGTCAGTGGTACATTAAAGTAAATAAGTGAAGTGTAACTAGATTAAAATATAGATAATTTATTTAAGCTAGAAATTCAACAGATAAACGGTGCATAACACTACAATCATACACACACAGGCACGCATGAATTATTTAATAATATTTGGGATTACGATAGTAACACTAGGAAGTGGAGCAGAAAGAAATAAGAATATAAACATAAAAAATCCAAAACTCATCAGGATAGTCGGCTTACAATGCAATCTTGGGCGTAACAGAATTAGTTTGACTTGAATCAGCATAGCGTTGATTAAATGATTAAATAATAGCAGTATATATGGGCAACAAGGTAAAGAAAAAAGTACTAAAGAGGACATATATTGTATATATATATATATATAAATATATATATGTATCGTAGTGTAAACAACAATCTTTGTTTTCTTTCATGTTTTCTTCTTACAAATTATATAACTTAAAGAGTGATTATAAGCACTCAGCTAACTGTTATGAGTTAAGGTCTACTACTTAAAAAAATAAGGTAAGTAATAGAAGTGGTTGTATTAAAATCAATCAGTATTTTTTCAAATATTTAATGTTATATTTGTAATTGGCATTTCTTACAAAAAAAAACGCACCCTACTACAAATGATTCGTACGATTGTATAGACTGAAAGGACTGAAGTAAGATAGGATTGTACATTGAGAAAAAACTATAAGCTCATATAGTGAGATGTCACTGAATTTAGTAATCTGTAGTATAGAGTATTAAAATAATGTAATCATTTTAATTTTGAATAAATAAATTTTAGTATAAAACGTTAGAGGAGACTGTTGAGTTTCATAGTTTGAATCATGAGTCGATTTCGATTAGACAATCACTAAAAACTGGAATGCACTAGACAATTATGTTATCCATTTTCAACAATCCGCACCTGCGACCCTACCGGAGATCATAACCTACACTTTCAAGTCTCTCAGAAAACTCTTAGTCTTTAGACCATTGTGATGGTATTCTGTGATTTATATTTGTAG